TGCGAGGAAGATCAGCCCCGAACTAACATCTGATGCCGATCCTCCTCTTTTTTTGCCGAGGAAGATTGGCCCTGAGCTAACATCCGTGTCCATCTTTCTCTACTTTATATGGGACAGCATGGCATCTCAAGCGGTGTGTCGGTGTGCGCCGGGGATCAGGGCACACCCCGGGCCACGGAAGAGGAGCATGTGCACTTAACTGCTTGAGCCACCAGGCTGGCCCCAGCCTATAATTATCTTTGAGATTTCTCAGAGGGCCCTTGAAGATCACCAAGATTTATTACTTCACTTTGTAAAGAGGGATACTGGGAGCAATCAGGTTTGCTTGGTATTCGCCATATGTCTTAATTAGCTCAATATTTTCATAAGAGCAGCATGGGAAGAATTGTCAAATCAGAAGTGATGTTCAGCCTTCCCTAGGTTAAGTTTATATGGGTAAAAAGTTATTAATAGAAATATTTCAGATATTGTATGTTTTTTGGAAAGGCCCTGGAGAGTTGATAATGCCCTTACTGTTTGTAACATGTCCTGACACTGAGGGAAAATATTGACTAATTTTTTAATAAGATAATTATGTAGAGTACAGTAGTATTCTATTATCTGTGGTTACACTTTCCAGGGTTTCAGATACCCACCATCAACTGCGGTCGGAAAATATTAAATGGAAAATTCCTGAAATAAACAATTCATAAGTTTTAAATTGCTCGAGATTCTGAGTAGTGTGGTGAAATCCTGCTCTGTCTCTGCTCCTTCTTGTGCCGGACCTGACTCATCCCTTTGTCCAACTGATCCACGCTGTACACGCTCTCCGCTCGCTAGTCACTTAGTAGCCTCTCAGTTATCAGATTGACTGTCTCGGTATCGCTGTGTTTGTGTTCAAGGAACCCTTATTTTACTTCATAATTGCCCCAAAGTGCAAGAGTAGTGATGCTAGCAATTTGGATATGCCAAAGAGAACTGTAAAGTGCTTCTTTTAAATGAAAATGTGAAAGTTCTCCACTTAATAAGGAAAGAAAAAAAATGGTATGCTGAGGTTGCCAAGATCTGCAGTAACTTTTGTTACAGTATATTGTTATAACTGTTCTGTTTTATTATTAGTTATTGTTGTTAATTTCTTACTGTGCCTAATTTATAAATGAAACTTTATCATAGGTGGGTATGTGTAGAAAGAAACATAGTATATATGTACGGTTAGGTTTGGTACTATCCGCGGTTTCAGGCATCCACTGGGGGGCTTGGAACGTATCCCCCGCGGATAAGGGGGGACTACTGCACCACCATGGAAAAGTTTACTCTTCTTCATTCCGACATTGTTATTGTAAGAAACTAATCTCAGTCATTCAGTCTCATGATCATTTCTGTTTTTATTGGATGCTTCTCTGAAGGTTCTGCTCTAAGGTCAGAGCCTCTAAGTGTCAGAGCCCCACAGAAAGCCCCACAGGAAGGTGTAGAGAGTGCCAGGCACCTGTAGCTACTGAGACCATAAAGAATAGACCCTTGAGTACAAGCTTCTTAGCTGACATCGTTTAAACACCTTTCAACCTGTACCAGCAGACTGAGTCAGAATTTCTGGATTCTAAGATTCCAAAGATTCTTTTCAATACATACTTCAGGAAAGCCCATTGCTTGACCTAAGATCCTGGGAAATAAGAATTACAGAGGACTGAATGAACTGACGAGGGAAACTTTAATTGTGGTTATTTGTGTGGAATATTGTTGTATGATTTTTGACGTTTTATTTTTTATGGATACACATAGAACTCCTTTCTCTTTCTCCTTAAGATCTCTCTAACCTTCAATTTAGTGGACTATGCATCAGTAAACTGAAATGAAACATTTTAAATAGTGTCTGATTCTCTATGGCATCTTCAGAATTCAGAAACAAATACTTTTAGTGAGTCTCTTTACTTTCCATGACAAAATAGTTATTAGTATATATTCAATAAGAATTTGTCATTCTTTTTATAATTGGACAAACAGATTGTTCAGCCAAAGCCAGACCAGAGGGTTATATTTGAGAATGAGGCTCTTAATCAGGTATAAGAAGACCATGTTAAGAAACACAGGGTTGACTTTATACGTGAAGCTAATGCCTACAAAGCCCTCCTCCCAAAACTGGCCTGGCACCTGCCTCCAGGTCCCTATCTGACTGGTGGTGAGGAAGGTCACTTCCTGAAAAGCTAGGGACCTTAGAAAATTTTCAGACCTCAAGAAGGGAGGAATTTACCCCGATTTAGTGATACTGTAGGTGAAATCTGATAGACAGACTTTCTTGGGCTTAGGCTCCTGGCCGTGGAATAGAGGAGTAAATATCGAAGTTTTTAAAAGCCTGAGATTCCTTGTGAAAGTTTCTGAATAGAAGGTAATTTTTTTGGCCTAAGTAGTTGCTCGGTAATCTAAGGCTCTAGATTTGCAGAGAAAACTTGAGGCCTATGTGATTAAATTGCTGCATGTGTGTACTCGGGCTAAACCTAACAAAATCAGCCTTTTGTGATCAAGAATGATCTTTATGATTGCAAGGCAGGAGACTGTCAGAAAAATTATCTGCAATTTTGAAATAAACAAGGGAGGCACATCCTCTCTCATTCTGGGGAGAAGTTCATCCAAGGATAATCTAGGAGAGTGGTTCTCAAAATGAGGTCCTTGGACCAGCAGCATCACCCAGAAACTTGTTATAAATTAAAATTCTTAGGTCTCACCCCAGATGGACTGAATCAGAAAGTCCAGGGTAGGACCTAGCAGTCTGTAGTTTAACAAGCCCTCCAGATGATTCTGTACACTAAAGTTTGAGAACCACTAATCTAGGGCAAACGACTTAGTTCAACTCACTGTTTACTATCAATTAAAGGTATCAGACTTAGTGAAGTTGCATGTTATCTTATAGATTTCTATCCAGTAGAGATGCAAATAATTTCTGTCCAGTGGAAGAGAGAGCCTCAAAGGTTATGGTTTATGGCCTTGTTGGACATTAACCAGATTTGTACCTACCTCAGCAGTATTATACTAACATTGCCTAAAATACCTAGCTCTTGGAATTAGTTTTAACATCTTACCGGTTTCCTTACTAATTAATGAGTTGAATAAACTCTTTGAGAGGTATTGGTTTTATATTTACATGAGAATAATGGTTTTTAACCTTTTGAAAATTATCGTCAATGGATTTCACACTGTGGTGGGAATGAGCCCTATAATACCAGGCAGTGAGGGCCTTGATGGCAGGACTGTGTCTGGTTTTGCTCAGTATTTTTTCCTCACATCAAGCACAGAGTCTGGTATATAAGCTCCGAATAAATATTTATGCAATCAATAAACACAACTTACAAAGTATTTGATTTTTTTGTTTTTGGTGAGGAAGACCAGTCCTGAGCTAACATCCGATGCCAATCCTCCTCTTTTTTGCTGAGGAAGACTGGCCCTGGGCTAACATCTGTGCCCATCTTCCTCTACTTTATATGGGATGCCGCCACAGCATGGCTTAACAAGCAGTGCATCGGTGTGTGCCCGGGATCTGAACCAGCAAACCCTGGGCGCCGCAGTGGAGTGCGCGCACTTAACTGCTTGTGCCACCGGGCTGGCCCCCAAAGTATTTGATTTTTAAAAGAGGAATTTAATTTTTTTTGTGTGTGAGGAGGATTAGCCCTGAGCTAACATCTGTTACCAATCCTCCTCTTTTTGCTCAGGAAGATTGGCCCTGGGCTAACATCCGTGCCCATCTTCCTCTACTTTGTATGGAACACTGCCTCAGCATGGCTTGATGAATGGTGCATATGTCCAGGATCTGAACCCATGAACCCAAACCCATGACCCCCCGGGCTGCCCAAAGCGGAGCACGTAAACTTAACCGCTACGCCACCAGGCCGGCCCTGGAAAGGGGATTTTCTTGAAGATATTCTCTGAGATGTGTTGGCCATCACCCGTAGAGTCAGACTAGTTTTAGATTCAATCCCAGGACAGTTTTCTTCGTTTCGGAAAGCACTTGCAAGCAATACAGAGTGGTGTGCCCAAATGGATCACTGGATTTTGTTACCTTATAATATGAACAGGAACTAACACTTCCTGGATACGTGCCATTCACAGGAAGAAGAGCCAAATGGAAGGGTGAATGGTTTTAGGTAAATCCATCAGAAGTGCTAGAATATCAATTTAAAGTTTATGCCTGACAGTGGGTGAAACACTAGTACTATTTTCACGTGATATTTAGATTGCCTTTGGGGTGAACACCTATTTTTTCTCTCCCTGTGGTTTTCCTTTTGGCAGCCTTTGCCTTCTGCATTCCAGGTGCTCCGGGGGGCAATGGTGGATGGTTAACCAGTCATCCCCTTGTCCCCCAACTCCATACAGCGGTACATTTATATCCCGTGCCAAACAGATTTCTGCCTCCTGGAAATTTAAATCCCGAGCAGAATGATCAACGAGGGTTTTAAGCTAAACATTCCCAAAGCAGCATCCAAAACAACTGGCCGGTTTCCTGATGGAGGGCCCTGGCCCCGTTTCACTCCTTGGTATTGCTTGCTTCTTCAGCTTTCTTTTCCATTCTGGATCTTTCCATTAACTCCCTTTTGCTTAAATTAGCTAGATAAGGTTCTTGTGGCTTACAACCAGTCTTATAACTGCACAACTATTTTCCAGACAAAGTGATCAACCCGCATCGCACACGCAGTGGTCAGTCGACTTGGAGCCCTGGTTCTCGCTGCCAGACTGTGGTGTCCCTCAGGCTCACAGTGCTCCTCTAGTGGAATGAAAGAGCATCTGACTTTTATGGAAGAACTGACTTCTCTTTCATGGGGGACTTTTCCTAATGAAAAACTTATTTACAAGAGAAAAATATTCTAAATATACTTCTAGAAATGACAATCTTAAGTCTTTGTTGACTGACTTACATTCAATTTATTTTAATTATATTGTTTGATCTAATGGAGGGTTCTGGTAGGACAGAGGGTTAAACTAAACATCCTAAGGAAATCCTTAGTAATCTTATAAAATTTAAAAAAACTCGCATGCAAACTAACAGAAAAAGTACTTTATTTATAACATCATTTTGTAAACAGTCACACTGTGCATTTTTTAATTCAACAATAACAATCTTTTTCCCTATGGATTTATAGCAAACCCTACCTATATAAAGTCAATGAGTTAATACAAGCGTCAAGATGAATAGGGTAGAATAATTTCTGAAAATGTTTAATTACAGCACTTGATACAAAGACAGATAACTATCTGTACCATAAAAATTTACATGCCACAAAACATTAATTTATAATTTTAAATATGTAGTAAAACACATTTATAAAGAAAGCATCAACATTAATTTTATTATAAACCAGTGAATTACTCAGGAATATTTATTAAAACTTACTAAAAATCAGTAAATATTGCAACTGAGGTAAAAATTTATAAGTAAACAAAACTATCATTTATAAGGGCCAAAAAGTAAATGGCAGGGCAGGTAACACTTTCTGATGACGATGTCTACTCCTTGATGTTTTGAAGCAGCTTCAATAAATGTGACTCAATAACCTGTTGAACTAGAACAGAGAGGTGATCAGGACCACAGCATGATGATTACAAAATTTTAAAAAGAACTATCAAATTCAAATTAACATCCCCAAATTTTTCCTAAAATAATTTCCAAGTAGGATACATTCATAGTCTAAGGGCAATAAGATTGCAATGCAATACTTAAATACACTTAAAACTCAGTCGGTCACTGACTTAGTGATCGTCCAAGTTACTGGATTTCTTATTCCTGGTTTCTAAATTTTGAAACTGAAGGAGAGTCAGAGCACAAGGTTGTTGTAAGGAACACAAAAAGGGCAACTATAAGGCTTTTTTTTTTTTTTTTTGGTAAGGAAGATTGGCTCTCAGCTAACATCTGTGCCCATCTTCCTCTACTTTGTATGTGGGACGCCACCACAGCATGGCTTGATGAGCGGTGCATTGGTCCGTGCCTGGGATTCAAACCTGTGAACCCTGGGCTGCCAAAGCAGAGAGCATGAATTTAACCACTACTCCACCAGGCCGGCCCCCTATAAGGCTTTTTATAAATAGTTTGCTACAATGTTAAACACATTGTAAATAGGTGTGTGCTTATCCTCCAGCAACTAATTATTTGGGTTGGTGAAAAGTAGTAGTAACAAACTCATTTCTAGACTTTGTAGGACTTTGTGGGTTTTGCCCACAGTTAAAAGTATTTGTCAGGAGTTGGGATAACGTGCAATGCTCTATGACTACAAGTGATGAAACAGTCTGGACCGCTGGTTTGTACTATTCATGAAGCTTTACTAGAACGAAACCTGAGAGTTCTAAAATGCTTACCACTTCTGTAGCCCAAGGCTACAGCTAAATCCATAGAATTATAACCAGAGTCGGTTTCAATTGTTGGGTCAGCTCCATTTTCTATACCAAAATAGAAAAATCGACATAAATAAAATGAAAATATGGATATGTTTGTCTATTACTTGCTCGTGTGCAAATAGTGGGACAGATTTTCAGCCAGTTTGGAAGGTGTTTTCAGGATGGTCTGACAGAGGACAGAGAGCAGAGAATTCACCTTGGTGGGTTGGAGGGGAGACACTTGCAGCAAACAGGCATCCTCTAGAGCAGCTGCAAGGCACGGACCACTACAGACAGAACTCAAGCATACAGACGCTGGACGGAGGACACAGCGTGGATTCACACGTGACCCCCAAGAGCAACAGGGACACATGCCCAGCTGCAGGCACACTGTGACGAGCCGCCTCCCACATGGCAGCCATGGCAACAGGTGCTCCAGGGTGAGGAGCAGCAGGATTAATGCAGTTAGCAAGAGTTAGTGATGCTCCCGAGTAATCCCTGGGGAGGCCAGCTTGTGAAAAATAAAGTCCTCACTTTCTAAATATTTTCATGTTTATCTGCTTACCTAACAACATTTTTACACATTTCACGTGATTTCCATGTACAGCATAAAGCAAAGGTGTCCCTCCATTCTGCAAAAAGAAAAGGTGATTTAGTTTTTTAAGGTGAGCAAGATTCGAATAATTTAGTGCTGCTGTGAGAAGTTTTACTAAGAATTGAGCATGTAAAAGTAGTTTAAGGTAATTTTAATATTTTGTGAATACTTAAATCAGAACTAATATTTGAGTTTATGACATTAACTTTTTCTTCCAGGTGTTTAACTAAGTCAATTAATTATTCTTCCAAGTGTTGAATAAGATTTATTATGTCTTCCCAAACCAAATAAATCCTCGAGTTATGGTAATTTAAAAATTAGTATCTCAGACTCACCCAATCGTATTCATTGACATCAACTCCACAACCAAGCAGCATTTGGACAATATCGGTGTAGCCTTTACTACAGGCGAAGGACAGTGCGCTTTCTCGACCTTTTCCTAAAAGCTGGGGGTCAGCACCCTGGAGTGGCAAGTGGAGACAAAAGACTTTTCAATTCACGGGAACAAGAATATTGTTATTTCTGTCAATAATAATTACAGTTCAACACTTAGGTCAGGTAACATTCTGGGGTTAACAAGGAAATGATGCCAACTTCTACTCAGGGCTGCTCTTGTTATCAGGGTGTCTGGACGCCTTCCTCCCTCCCTCTCTGCATCCTGACTGCTCTTCACTCTGGAGTCAAACCCCGCCTCCAGGAAGCTCCTCCTACAAGGCTGACAGGGCTTTGTTCCCTCTGCTTAGAGGAGCCGGGCCTTAAATCTTCTCTCACTGCTTCGTGTCTGATCAGTCTCGCCTGCCCAACTAGATCCAAGCTCCACAAGAATATGAAAAGCATTTAAAACTTTCTGGATCCTCTACCATTACATCCAGCTGGCTGGAGCTACAGAGATGTGACTAAAGACTTAACTGAACTTAAGTGACTGTACATAATACATTTTCTGAGGCTTTTTCCTTACATTCTGAAGGAGAAACTCGACCACAGCTATTTGCCCGTGTGCTGCGGCCCACATCAGAGGAGTAAATCCTTCTTCATCTGTGTGATTGATAACATTTTCTATGTAAAAGAAAAGCAGTTTTTGTGATATAATTTCACCACCACATATGAATACCACTACGACAATACTGGCATGCTAAAGAGCTGACTGTGCTTGTAGAAATTACCCAATAGATATACTTAAAAAGAATGCTAACAATATTGTTATTTAACAGCAACAAACTACATTCAACCAGCAACAGGGGAACTAGTTAAAAAATAAAAACATAGTCTATGTATATGAAATACAATGCAAAATCATGGACCTATTAAAAAGAATGAAATCAATCTTTATGTGCTTATAAATTTTATACAATCTTTTGGAAAGATCTCCAAAATATTAAGTGAAAAAAGTAAAGTGCAATGCAGTGGGTATAATATTTTCCCTCGTGTAAATAACAAAAAGCACATACATATTCTCAATATATAAACCCAAATATTAGCAGAAATGTCTTCTAGAAAAGTTTTCTGTAAACAAGAAACTTATAATGTTTGCTTTTGGGGAAACGGCTAGGGTGGTAAAGGAAGCTATAATTTTTATAATTTATAGTACTTTTTTTTTTAACTATCTATTGGGTTATCTGCCTGGTGAGATTATGCAACTATTTTTTTTTTGTCTTTATACTTTCCTAAAATAAAACTTTATACTTTAAAACTTTATACTCTCTTAAAATAAAACAATAACAAAGCTAAGAAATCCTATTAAATTTGTTTTAAATACCTTTTTCAAATAGGCTATTACCTTGTTCGATACGGGTAGCCAGGTAGAGCATCTCTCCCTGAGCGGCCAACTGGTGAACAGACAAAGCTGAAACAACACCATAGAAGCTTCATGTGTATCTGTAGGGCACACTGCCATCATCTCATTGTTCATGTTTGTGCAGCATTCTTTTCTTCCAAGACAAAAACTACCATTTTATTGTTTAAAAAATCTGACTTCAAATATACCCTAACTTAACAAGTAGCCATTCTGTATCTGAAAATTGGCTCTTACATGTTTAAGGTAATTCTGACATCTGCAAAGTGTTATTACCAATGAATACACAAATTGTTATGATCAATTATTAACAATGCAAATTGTTACTGATCTTATCAATCAAAGAAATGGTTTAGATACTTAATTTTTAAAATGTGTTCCCTGTATCCAAACTTATAAGGAAGTTGGGTCTAAAGGACACAGACACACTTCTGTCTTTTTATTGATCGAGTCCCCACTGAAGTCCCAAATGTCATTATGTCAAGACTCCATGGGTTTTTCTTAACTTTAGGAAGAGTGAGGCAGTAAACGGGAAACTGGCCTTGAGAGTAAATTCTTGAGTGCAGACCTAGTTGTGCCTAATTAGCTGTGTGACCTTGGATAACTGATTAAACATTTCTGTCTGCAACATGAGGGATGTGAACCATATGATCTCTAGGTGTTTCTTTTCAGCTCAAAAATTTTATGGTTGGAATATTTTAAGATGATCTCTTTATTTTAAAACAAAGCCAAAAGAGGCACTGTTCTATGAGAGCTCATCTTAAAAATTAGTATTACTTGATCCTGACTTCAGTGATATGACTCGGTGGCCTTCATACAGAAAGGAAAGCAATTGGGAGGCACAGGCAAATTAATATAAGTAAAACAGAAATGGCCAATAGGAAGATAAGAGTCACAGACTCTTCCTGGCTTAACTGCTACAGCATGTGATTCAAAATCAGGAGGGATACAGTGTTTTCAAAGTAAAGACATATATTTCACCGTGCTTTAGAATACAGATGCATTTACATCATATTCTCAAAGAAAGCTCCTAACATCAAACTGCTAACTGGTTTTCTCTCATTCACACACCCATACTAGAGAGAATATTTTCTAGTTTATATAGAAAAACTTCATTTTATTTCTTCTAGAATGATTCTACATTTTTTTTAAAATTATGGATTCTAAGTTTTAAAAAAGGTGGTTTCATATTCATATTATTATATTCAAATTCAAAATTACAGTAGAAATCACTTAGCTTTTACTACAAATTACCCGTTGATCAGTGATCTAGTTTATAAGTAAGATGTGAAGCCTCACACTCCAAGAACACAAAAACACTCACAATGTCTTACTTTGCACGGAGTTCAGAATAACTCAGTTTTTATAGGAAAACTATAAAGGTTTTAAGAATTAATATTTTGATCTGTATTTGTTCTCAACAGAGAAACATAAAACATGAAATATTTTAATATGCAGTAATATGTCAAAATGGTTTCAATTACTAAAACCAGGACATCACTTAAGTTTTCCAAAATAGAATATGCACTTAATGAAAATAATTTCAAAGTGAAACTCTTGAAACCATTATATTGGTTATAAGAATTTTTTGTTTTTTTTCTTCCTTTTCTCCCCAAAGCCCCAGTAGATAGTTGTATGTCATACTTGCACATCCCTCTAGTTGCTGTATGTGGGACGCAGCCTCAGCATGGCCAGAGAAGCGGTGCGTTGGTGCGTGCCCGGGATCCGAACCCGGGTTGCCAGCAATGGAGCGCCAGCACTTAACCGCTAAGCCACAGGGCCAGCCCCTAGTTATAAGAATTTTTTAATACATCAGTGGGAAATACTCACAATTTGCTAAGAGAGGTGTGGTCGAGACCTCATTTCCTCTGTGTTTGTTGGTTAAGGTAGTCGACTGTTTGATGGGGGAGAAGTGCTTTGTTGCAGAGGGAGTGTAGACGTGCCTCACTTGAATTCCAGGAGGAGATGTGTGGATATTGCATTCAGCTGAGTAAAACAAATTTAAACACATTAAAACAATATTTTAATGACAAAGCATTTCAAAGTTCTAAATCAATGTTTATATTAAAAAAGAAATAGAGGGGCCGGCCCGGTGGCACAAGTGGTTAAGTGCATGCGTTCTGCTGCGGCGGCCCGGGGTTCGCCGGTTCGGATCCCGGGTACGCACCGACGCACTGCTTGTCAGGCCATGCTGTGGGGGCGTCCCATATAAAGTGGAGGAAGATGGGCACAGATGTTAGCCTAGGGCCAGTCTTCCTCAGCAAAAAGAGGAGGATTGGCAGATGTTAGCTCAGGGCTGATCTTCCTCACAAAAAGAAAAAAAAAAAGAAAGAAGTAGATGAGGTATAATATCTTCAACTGTTTCTCAAGTCTGTACTACCATAGTGAAAGTTCCAGAAAAAAATCTGTATTAATCTTGAGCAATTTTATTCTGAGATTAGTTTTTTATTCAACAGATTGTTATAAAAGTAAATCTACAATATGATGACAGACTTCACTGCATTAAAGAATACGAAGCTAACGCCAATCAAATATTCATGGAATAGGGCATGTCAAGCTAACTGGTTTCTAAAAGGCGCAAATAATTTTTTTCTCCTATGATTTTAAAAGGTACAATAGGGAACTTTATTAGAGAATTTGTAAACAAAGGTTAAGCAAGAAATTAAAAGAAAATCAACATGTACTCATGGACATTATATAATATGAAATTATTTAATTTTGGTTTTTGTGAGATTCTAGAAAATCATATTAAAAGATGACTTCCAAACTCGCTTCCCAAACTCAAAATCCCATGATCAAAAAGGGGAAAAAAACCCCCAAATAAACAAAAACAAAACAAATGCAGATATGTATACCATAACTTTCAACCTTTAAAGAGGACAGATGCCACCTCCAGGTCAGAGTTAACCTGATCTTGAATGTTTTTACTATCCTCCTCGTTTAAGGACTTCACAAAGCGAGAACACACGTTCATATCAAATCGGTTGGGCAATATGAATTTCATTCCCATGGCAACACTCTGAGCTGATCCTTCTTCTGCACTTGCGTCCAGCTGATGTTCTCTTTTAACGTCTGGCATGCCACTCAGACTGTAACTGGTGGGACACTCTTCCACTATCAGCCGGGCTCCAATATCCAGATTTGCTGATGTAGCCATGATTTCAACTGTAGTTTCAATAATTAAAACATTTTTTGATGATTTCCTCTTGATTTTATAAGAGCAGTATCCAGTGTATTCTTGCAATTTGGATATTAAAAAACCTGAAAGAAAAAAATTAAAAATATTATATCAACTTAGGTAAAAGTACACAAAATAATCATTTTCAATCAAGTATGCAAACAGTGCTCTAACAAGCACCTATACATAATAGAAAGCATACAATGTTCAGAGGTGGAGGAATCTGGGTACAAATCCAAGTGTCACCATTTACTAGCTGTGTGAACCTGTACAGGTCACTGAACCTCTCAAAGCCTCAGCCTCACTCGTAAAATGGGGACACCACCATTAACCTCACAGGATCCTCGTGAAGACCAAATGAAATGCAGTAACATTCTCACCTCTGTCGGTAGGGTCCAACAAATTTTAGTTACCCTTTCCTCCCCTTTCCTATTCCCAAATATTGCCAAATGGATAAAAGATCAGTCTAACAATGAAAATAAACTTTCATGTAAAAACTTTAACCTCTTACCTGAGGTTCTTTTTTTTTTTTTTTTTTGGTGAGGAAGATCAGCCCTGAGCTAACATCTGCCAATCCTCTTTTTTTGCTGGGGAAGACTGGGCCTGGGCTAACATCCATGCCCGTCTTCCTCCACTTTATGTGGGACACCGCCACAGCATGGCTTGCCAAGAGGTGTGTCGGTGTGTGTGCCCAGGATCCGAACCGGCGAACCCCGGGCCACCACATCGGAGTGCGCGCACCCAACCGCTTGCCCCACCCGGCAAGCCCCCTGAGGTTCATTTTTTAACATGCTGTTTGTAAGTGGCTCTCAGTTTGAATTTAAGGAAATATAGAACTCATGTACTCAAGTCTGTTAGAGTCTATAATACCCATGATTCTTGGAGAGTGAAAAGCTTTATAAAACCTTGGTTATGATGAACTGAAGATATATTTATTTCTTAGTTTTTGTTCAGATCAAGTGTTAGCAACTTAATACAGGTTTTTATGAAAAACAAAGTGTACAGATTATAGATTGGCTTCCTTTGCTTTAGCATCTCTAGGACATTAGGATCAAAGTGTAATTTCTGGATCTCGATCTTTGTCATAAGTATTAAGAAATAAGAATTACTGATTTTTCTTCAAATGTAGATCGTCAAGACATGAACTCAATAAATGCTAACTCTCGAAGCATAGGTTATAAGCACACCTGTTACTGAATCATTTACTATTGTTTTAAAATGAGTTTTCACTAAAGTAATTGCTGGCACTTCCCTATGGACCTTAATATAATTTCAAGAGAAATTTCATTATTGTACCTAAAATTGCTTCTACAAAGATGAACTCCAAGATACATTATGGTCCTAGATATATAATCACTGAGACAGGAAGAAAATTAACACCAAGTTAAATTTTTTACGTAGGGTTTACTGCCTCTTACAAATTGTGAGAGGGTGCAGGGTGTTTTAAAATTGGAATTAATTGGAATTAAAAGAGAAAAATGCATTAAAATCACAGTGGAGGTTGGCAAACTATACATTTACAGATAACCACTGTTTACAGTTCTAAAACATTTTCCAAGATTGATCCTTGTAACAATCCTCTGGGTAGTCAGGGCAGGTAATCATTATGTCCACCGTAGTGAAGAGAAAAAGGGAGCCCATGAGTTACAGGGACCTATCCAGCTCTTCTGACTTCATCACTCTGCCCCTTACAATAAGCAGCACTAAACTAATCCAAAACTTCCCAGGGAGAAAGAGCTGAAGAAATAACAAATAGTAATAATATTAATAATAAGAGAAAGTAAAAGGTAACAAAGTCCACACACTTTAGCAAAAGGAAAGCAGAACAGGAAGTGAGTTGTGCTTCAAATGGAGACGGAGCTGCAATGCAGAGGTCTTTAAAAGTGTACTGCAAGAGACGAGCTGTTTCCCGAGGGAAGAGCCATCTCCCACAGACTCCTACCTAGAGGCGTGCTTGTGCGAAGTGCAACTCCCTGAGCTCTCTCAGCACCCTGCATATATCTCTATTTTAGCATTTATCGTTCTTTTGAACATTTCCATTTAAACTCCCAATAAATTGAAAACTCTAGAATGAGGACCACTCTAATCTTTGCACACAAAACAGTGCTTGGTCCATAAGTCTTTTCTGATCTGAATTTTAACAATGTTTCATATTCTTTTCTGTCCCGAAATGATCCTGCACGATGCTCAACAAACACCTGCTGTTTAGATCTGGCTTTACGTTCCCAACATCACCACTAAGTATCTGTGCAACCCTGGGCAGACAAATCATGCACGTTTGCTGAGACTCACTATCATCTATAAAGTGAAGATGGTTGAGACAGGCATCTCTAATATTCTTTCTAGCTCTAAACATCTTCCATGTTATAAATCAGGGTTCACAGATGGAATTACCAGGCTTTGAGTGGGAGAAGAGCACATGTACTTGGGGGGGGGGGGGAGGAGTGGAAATAGAACCCTTATCGTGGCACTGCTCCAGAGAGGAGAAGCAAAGTTGACTGGCTAGGCCAAAATTCTGAAGAACAGGAGGAGGAGGGGTGAAAAAGATGATCGAGAAGGGGAGGCGGTGAGAAAAAGAGGGAGGGCCCAGGGTAGGTAGGATCACCTCGCTGACAGCGAGCGAGGGATGAAGGGAGAGCGCCTCGAGATCAAGCGGGCAACCGTGCTAGTCCTCAGTGGATGCTCACGACGGGAGCCCCGGCTCCTCCTAGTCCCGGACTGCCCTGGAGGGAAAGGAAGGTGCACGAGGCTGAAGGACGCCTCGCGCCGACAGGCGCCCCGAGTCCCGGGACAGGCGCCCGCTGGGGCAGAGGCTGCAGGCGCGGAGTCCGCGGAGCACCGGCCGGGCCCCGCCCGGGA